GAAAGAGACTTTAAGCAAATACAGTGGTGTGTTATATTAAATTAAGTATCCGTCAACAGGCAAAAATACATTAAATTTAAGACGGGGACAACCAATATCACGCCGGTGCATTTGAGAATTTACAATAATAAATGAGATTTTTCTGAAACCAGTATTTACATCTTAATTCTCGGTTCAGGCAGCTTTTCAGTGGACTTTTGGGTCACATACTTACTGCCTCAAGTCAGAAAATAATATGAGTTGAGTTTTTAATGCCCGCGTTATAAAGCCTTTCAGTGATGAGATCCAAATTTAGAGAAATGAATTGCAGCTTAAAATGAAGCTACATCATATTCTTTGACCTCTTTTGAAGCCCCGCCGCCAGAGGTCCCCGAAGAGCTTGCTCGCAGGCTACGTTGAAATTAAAAACTGCTATAACTTCGGAAACTTCGGGAGGATGCGGACAACAATAGAAGTTACAATCTTGGACAAAATAACATGGGTCAACAAACCCCCATGCCCCCGAAAAGCCAAAACCGCGCTACTTTTCCTACCATAATTTGGAGGGGGAGTTGGGCGGGGGACGTAAAATTTTCATCTTTACTTGCCCAACATTGTAAACTTAATATTGTAAATTTGGTACTTGTTTTGTATGTGTAATCAAATGGTGATGAGTGAAATTTGGGAATAATTTCACGCGCGTTTTGTCCAAATCCTTATAATTTCCCGAGCCTTTTATAGGGAGAGGGAAATTATTAGGATTTGGACAAAACGCAAGTGAAATTATTCCCTAATTTCACGAGTATACCATTTGATTACCTATTAATATCATGGGTGACGAATTACGTTAGCAATCTTGGGTTTTTGACATGTTTATCCTGGATCGTATCGATCGAGAACTCCTGCACTCTCTCGAACGCTTAAATTTGGCTTAAGTTCAGAGTTTTTCGACAAAATACCTGTTAGAATCCTTCTTGATGTGCTCTTTCGTGTGTTCAGGTTTTCTAAAGCGTCACTTTGTGCCCTGACATCTTCATTCATGACATTTTTAAACTTCGTCGCCATCTTAACACTGAGACGTACGGAAGGTTGCCATGGCAATTTTGTAATTTCACATGTGAAATTACAAATTAACGCTGAAATTTCGCGCCAAAATTAAGGAGTAATTCGTCACCTATGACATTAGTCCATGAATTTCATCCAAGATTGTAGTCTTAAAAGTAATCTGCTTACATAGTAAATATCTGCAAACGTTTCTACTTCACGAAATCAATCGCGCATGCATATGTTTGGCATTATTAATAACGATTCTAAATTCTGTTCAGCCCTCAATCATTTAGTCATTATAGGAAAGTATTTTCTTTACGTAAAAGCTCTTAACGGTAAATTTTACATCTTTAATGAATTTGTTTCCCTAGGTCGTGATAAAATTAGTCTAGAAAAATATATTTCTTGTACGACTGGTCGCGAAAAAGAGTTCAGAACAAAATGGTCTGTTTTTTCGTCTCTTTTAAATAGGGTATTACTTTCTGTTTACTTAACTGATTGCGCTCCCATTTAATTTTAGTTACCACTAACGTTTTTATTGTGTTAGGTTTCTTTTTTTGTCAGCTTCAAGTTGTAGTTTTCGTTTTGTTGCAGATTGTCTTTTGTGAATGTCAACTGTACGTGTGTATGTTCAATATATAAAGTTGTATTGGAAAAAAAAATCAATCGCGCATGCAATACCCTGACGGAATCACACGAAATACCCCGTTTAAGTCAGGAGACGTCCGAAATTACATACTCCATTTAAGACAGAAGAAAAATCCACACTTTCCACCTTGCAAACCCTACCACCCGGCAAATTGCCCACCGGGAAGCGGAGCAGTGCCGGAATATACTAGAGGCGTAACAAATCGATGGGGTCTGCAAATGTTTTATCACGGCAGAAAAAGGATATCAAGGTAGAAAATGTTCCATCAAGGTAGTAAAATGATATCAAGGAAGAAAATGTCACATCACGGAAGTAAGATGATATCAAGGTAGAAAATGTTTCATCAAGGTAGTAAAATGATGGCAGAAAATGCCACATCAAGGTAGTAAAATGGTATCGAGGTAGAAAATGTTTTATCACGGTAGCACACTGGAACCTCAATATAACGAAGGGCCAAGGGACTGGCAAATTTGTTCGCTGTAACGACGTTTCGTTATATCGAGGTCTTTTTTCATATATTTGACTATCACTAGGGTTAAAAATATCGTGCGTTATATCGAGTTTCCACTGTAAAATGATATCAAGGTAGAAAATGTTTTATCTAAAATGATATCAAGGTAGAGGATGTTTTATCACGGTAGTAAAATGATATGAAGGTAGAAAATATTCCATCACGGTAGTAAAATGATATCAAGGTAGAAAATGTTCCACCACGCCAGTAATATGATATCACGAAAATGTTCCATCACGGTAGTGAAATTCGGTGAGGGTAAAAGACGGAATGAGTTTGCGGAATGGCATGTGGCATGGCTTGCGGAATGACATAATTATGCAGAATTTAATTTATGGAAAATGGCGCAAAGAAAAACAAATTCAACAGGAAAGCTTGCGTGCATCTCTGCCGCGCCTTTTTTGGCGCCAATTTGAGCGAGCAATCGATTTGCCAGTCCATTTATTACTGCTATTAAAGCAAGGCTAAAATTGAAACACAGCTGATACACGAATACTTGACAAATAATCTATAATAACTCGTTTCCAAAATAAACTGAAACTGTTCTTTACTCAAGTCTCTTTTCCAGTGAAGCGCAGTGAAAGTACGAAAACTTGTCAAGTTTACGAAACAGTCTTCTATTAAGTTTTTGCTCTCCTCATCACATAGAAAAACGTCGCAACGGTGGACGAGATAAAATAGAAAGGAAGAGAGAGGACCCTGGGATCGAGGCTGTTAGGAAATGGCAGACTCGGTAGTCCCAAATGAAATAAAGAAATAAGCCTCGTATAAATACGTGCAGACGTACCGTGTTGCAAATCTGTCTGGGTTTCTAGGGGTATATAACCTGTGCTACTTGGTAACGCTAGAGGGTAAAAAACGTTCGCTGAACGTGGAGTCCGGCTAGCAACAATTCTAGGGATTTCTAATGCGGTGAACGAATCAGATCATATCCGAGACTAAATGAACGCCTCAAGTCAAACATTAATCCGTAATTCACAAATCGAATGAAGCGGCGAACTGCTCTCTACCTCCTTTCGGCCTTTCCGCGTCTCTTCGCTCCTCCTCGTCATTAATATGTATTTTTTTTAATGGGTATGTATTTTTTTAACAGTTAGTGTGATGCCGAACCGGCTCTACTAACCTAATAGAGGTAAGGTAAAGCGGGTAAAGGAGAAAAAATGCTAAAAGTAGGAACGTGAAAAAAAAGAAAAGAAAGAAAGAACGACAAAAAGCACACAAACTCGATTGCCAGGATTCGAGCTCGCGCTTCTCGGCCAGCTGTTAGCTTCGCGTGCCTGAAACTTCACCACGCAGCTAAGAAAACAAAATACAAGATAAGTTCGATCTCTGAATATTATGTCACGAACAATCGCGCGACCCACCTTCTGAAAAAGAAACACTTCTCACACGGTTTCAAATGCAAATAAAGGTAAAAAAAAGTGACGGTGATCGTGCAAATATCTTTTGCAGAATAAAATTAAAGCAGAAGAGAGTAGAGGGCTAGTGTGACCTTCCAAAACATCTTTTCTTCAATGGCCTACTTTCGTGATGTAGTATCGATGCTGCCAGCAGCTCGACTAATAAAGGCAAGTAGGATCTTTGTGGCTGTGCAAAAAGCTAATTGACCGTGAGAAATCAAGGAGTCTTTCCTGGCTTTTTGATTGTCATCGTAGTCAAGCCCGTGCAACATTTATGAAGCGGCTGTTTGTGAATTGATTGGCGTCAAAAAAGGGCGCAATTTTCAGATTACTTTATTTCTTTAAGTCATTCTGAATACATTACATTCCGCATTATTATGTCATTCCGAAAGCCACGCCACATGCCATTCCGCAAACTCATTCCGGCTTTTACCCTCACCGAGTGAAATGATACCAAGGTAGAAAATGTTAGCCCGAATTTCATCCGATTACTTCCAGTCCTTTTCTCCTCTCAGCAACTGAGGGAGTAATAGCGACTCGAAGTAATCGGATGACATTCAGGCTAAGAAAATGTCACATCACAGTTAATTAACGTGATATTAGGGTAGAAAATGTTTATCACGGTAGTAATATGATTTCAAGGTAATTAAAGGTTCCATCACGGAAGTAAAATGATATCAAGGTAAAAATAACAATGGTAGGTGAATTCTACGACAGCAGGAACATTGCATAAGACATGTTATCACGTGAACAAATAATTGTGAATCAAACGGCGAGCCATATCTAAATCACAGAAAAAACCATTTGTGAGACTTTTGACGTATTTAGAAACATAGGGTACTTGCGTGCTCCTAGATCCAGTGGTAAATATCCACTTTTTTACATTCAATATTAACTTACCATTTGAATCTCTCCGTTTTACCGGCAGACCGAAGACAAACTTATCTTAATCGAATTAGCAAACATGTCTGCTAAAAAGTGGCTTTGACCACTGTGCCGCATGCCAAGTATTTATGTGTCTATTAGGCTCAGCTAGTCCCTTGATGGCTTCCAACATAGCATATATGAATCTGAGTCTTTCCATGAATGCAGATACAACTGTCTCAACATTAATCAATCAAATATTGGGACAATGTAGTTGGAAGTGGAAGTAATGTATAATTATTGCTTAATGTGTTTTGAGGTGATTCAGTGCGAATTTGATTGATCGGAGCCTTTGCAGTCGGTTAATGGGTCCTGTCTTTAAATTGCAGTTTGAGTTTGCTTGGTATCCATTGAGCTCAAGGTTGATTAACTGTACTATTAGCCACAGTTGGAACAAAAAGATCCACAAGAAAAATACCTTCGTAAAAACATGAACGATTCGTCTGGTCACCAGTTAAAAAAAGTACCTACTCTCCTTGGACTTTGGTTTCTGTTCCCTGTTGCTGCCGCTTATATATTAATTGCAGTAGTGGCAGCAGTTGGAAACCTTCTGGTCTGTTTCGCTATACTCACCAACAGAAGTCTTAGAAGCAAGCCATCAAACCTACTGCTGCTGTCCTTGGCTGTCTCAGATCTTCTGACTGTAGTCTTGGCAATGCCATTCGATAAAGATTCGTTTCTTCAAGGACATTGGAGACATGGACCAGTAATGTGCGTAACGTCTCTTACTTCCTACCTCATCACCGTACCCACATCGATTTTGACGCTTTTGGCTATCAGCCTGGATCGCTACCAAAACCTTCTTGATCCTCTGCGCGGAACGAAAAAAGAACTAGAACAATGCTTAACTTCCTTCACTGTGTTATACAACATCTTGAGCAATTTTCTGAACTTTGTTGGGCCGCTGGTAATTACATGCGTGTTAAATATCACGATGTATTGTATTGCTTGCAAGCATAATAAAAGAGGTCTTAGGAATCATGGAAAGATTCCAAAGAAGACGCAAAGGCCCATGCAAGATCCCTAAAAGCTGCGAGGACAACTTTCATGTTGGTGGCAGCTTTCTTCTTTTGCTGGCAGCCCTTCTCGTACTTCAGTATTGTCGGTATTCTCTACGGTGAACAGAACTGGGACCCATACCCGAGTAAAGTTTTCTATGTTCTGTTGATGTTTGGCTACCTTAACTCGGCTCTGAATCCTTTTTTCTTTGCGTTTCGCAACAAACAATTCAAAGCCACGTACGTTAGAATGTTTAACTTGTTCAAACGCCGCATTTCAAGAGTGCAACGACTTCGTTGTGTCACCTTCTTAAACGACCTTACCTCTGGTGTTCCCGAAGCCGAGAACAAAAATGTTTGCTTGCAAGCATTCAGAAGCAAAAGATCAACACCAGACCCACCCAGACGAAAAAGCACATCAACATAAAATTTTTAAGGGAGGATTATTTTGTGCAAATTATGAAACGATCTTCAACTTTCTGTTAGAAATATTATTTTCAGTGTTAGCTTTAAAAACGCTCATAACTTTGTTTCAGGAGGCGTCTCTCCGTCTTAAGTAGGGTTTTAAGGAATATTTAGTCAGTCGTTTTTAGAATTTTTGAATAAGGATATACACAACGCAGAGCACTCTCTATTTCAATTTTGTCTGACTATTGAAAACATGAAAAACTATTGAAGTCTCAACGTTTCACGCGCCGTTTCAATTTTGTCTGACTATTGAAAACATGAAAAACTATTGAAGTCTCAACGTTTCACGCGCCGTTAGTCAGGTAATTATGCAAGTTCACAAGCCCAAAGTTGAATACGAATTAGCTCTACAGGAAAAACCTCAAGGGAGCATCTTGACGTATTATTATAAAACAAATAACTTAACAGGGATCAATTGATTAAACACGCGACTAATAATTGCTAGCAATAAAATCAGACACGAGATACCGTTTTAAAACAAAAAGAGTCAAATACACAACGATTTGAAAGAAGTCTATTAAAATAGTCAAAGAAATCAAGCTATCTTTTTTTACCACGAACTGACAAAATTTGTCCGCTATAACGAGAGTTCGTTATATTGAGGTTCTTTTCCATATATTTTACTATTACTGGTCAAAGAAAATCGTTTCGGGCAGCCCACGTTGTCGAATTTAACAACTGTATTTGGAAAAAAATCGCTCAAAACCATTGTTTACTGGTTTGATTCGCTTGGCAAATTTTCCTCGCCCTTTTTGTTCAAATTTCCTTTAACCTAGGTTCATAATTGTATTAATAAAATGTTCATCATACTCTGTCGCTTGAAGGTTGTATCTTTTCCATTCAAATAGTCCAGTAAAAATAATGTTCAAGTTTAATAATATCTTTCAAGTGAATTAAACTTATCTTCGCTGAAGTCCGCTGTCAGCTACTGTTTTTCCCAGATGTCATTTCAATCATCTTTTCCTACTAATAACGTGCATATGTCAATTCACCGGCCTAGGTTTATTACAATTGCTCAAATGGAGGATATAGTTTTGAGGAGCTTACTATCTCGTTTTATTTCGACATGCTTTGCCAAAATCAGCCTTAAGTTACATGACTAGCAAAGGAATATATCAAAAATACAAGTTAAAGTAAACACAGTGAATTATAAGGAACAACTAACCTACATTGTAATTGATCAAAAGAAAACAGACTTAGAAATTTTTTGAATTCGAATAAGTGTGTGCCAGACATCGACAATTTTTTTGAAAGCGTAACTAATTTTCATGTGCTGAATCAGCACGAATTACTGAAATAGACAGGATATCGGCAGAGTGCTTCCGTTTTCTTTTGCAACGAAAGGGACTTAAGTCCATTGATGAGCACTAAAGCAGAGTTAAGTTAAAAAAACAAAACGACTTATAGGAAAGACCTGACTGAAATAACCTTCGGCTCAACCCGGCACTCTCTCGGCAAAATAAAAAAAAATACACTAATTAGCTCGCTTTACCAGGTCATCGCTTATCGACCGGGAAGCTACTGTAGTGGAAACAATGTTACTTTACAATAGTACGTATTATTGAGCGATCGGAGGGATGAGCAGCATAAGTTCACATCTTTATGGACTCTTAGCCTAGTGAAGTTTTGAAAAAAGAACCACGTGTCTTTATTTTTTAATCAGAGTAGTTACTAAAAAACCTTTTTTACCCTGCTTTGAGAGGCTTATTAGGCGAAATTACTTCTACAAATAATCTTGGCAGAAGATTTTGAGGTAGAAATAAAGTCGTCGAGTGGTTCGCTAAGTCGTCGCTGCTTTTGTTAATTACTATTTTTTAAAGCTCTCTTTTGTGGCATTGAAGATTAGTAAAAGTGTCCTAGTATCCTTGTATTTATAAGGTGACATCGTTTAGCTATCAGCTTATCAAAAGTGTTACTAAGAATTCGTCCGACCGTCAGCTCTTGGAAGCCGGCTGGAGTAAAAAGCGGCACGCGTTGTAGATTAAAGGTTTATAATTTACCTGATGGGAGATCCCTCATCAATTTGTCACGTCATGAAAAAAATAATTACTTTTACCGCGCCAAAGCAGTTCAGTCATTAAAAACGATGTCATTTTTTATCTATAATGAAAGCTGAAAGCTGTCGGCAAAACATGAATTACTGTCGATTACAACAGAAACACTTCCGCAGTCATTATGGCGAACCAATGAATTGACAATGAGGGGGATCGATTCAGAGCGAACAAACTTTGTATAATTCTCTTCAAATTCGAGGTAATTATAACCTCTGGTAATTTGGAGAAAGTGTTAACAATTTAATATACAAACAATAGCTGTGTTTATTATAATCGATTCTATACAAAAAAAGTAATAATGACTGGGTTAGTTTAGTAATATTAGGTTCAAGACACCTCAACTTTCGATCGATCCCAGCAGGTACAAAGGATGCTCTATGAAAACTAGCACATTATCTTACGCCAAAAATGTCTGTTTAACATATTCCCAGCAATTTGGCTTTGTTGATGGCTCAGGTGTTGTTGGAAATAAGCTTAAATGAAAGTTTCATATCGACCAATTTTTAAAGCTTCAGGTGGCGTCAGTCGCTTACTTGAGTTACAGGGAACATTTTCATTTACACACTGAATGCACTGAAATTAGCGCGCAGTATTTAAACAATAAGCTCGATGCCTTAATTTACAACCAACCAACAACCAATCAACTTAAAGAGTTTGTTTAAATAGTAGATGACTGTAGGGTGTGTTCAAATAACTTCTTCCAATAGGCTGCTTAAGATATCTTGTTCAATAACTAGTCCAGTCGACTCCGATAACAAGGGTTTTTTGTCCTCTCGACGACGTATACGTACATGTTCCACTTTTTTTCTCTTAAAAAATTTATTAAACTGTAATTAAATGAACTACGGAACTGTTTCCTGACTTAAAATGTAGCCTAATTAATTGCTTCGCTATAACCGGCCATAGTGTTCGGTTCATACTCTTCTCCGCTATCTTTTTCGTTTTTGACATGGAAAAACGCGAACTAGGCGGTCGATTGGACCGGGTAGGCTTTCAATTTCATTACTTACATAATTGATTCATTATTTTTCTCTTCATTTCCATGCTCGCCTTTTAAGTCATTTATTAAGTCTTCCTTTTTTTGTTGACTCCAGCTGCTTACCTGAGCGGAAGTTGAGGCACCTGTCTCGACTATCTTAAATGTTTTCGAAAATAGATAGGTTTTCACTTTCTTCCTCGGTACCTCAATGCCGTTGATGGTCATCAGCTTCTAAAGCCCGGTCTGTTTTTAGTTTGAAATTTATTTTTCTCAAATTATCCCTGTTATCAAAAAAGTAATCAGTTGTGATTAGAGGTTACAACTTTTCGAGAAAAATAATTATGTGAAAGGACCGTTTCCATGATAACGGTTTTTAATGTAAAATCCTAACCGTAAAACAGCCAATCAGAGTGCTCTATCAAGACTTGCAACTTGCAACTTGCAACTTACTATTCTTCATTTTTTCCTTGCTTTCAGCTTAATCCGCGGAAAAGTATCGCAGGTTGAAGACTAATATAATAAGAGGAGGATCCAAACACGGGCTGAACTTTTTGACACCTATACTATCAACTTGGCATCATCCGGTTTTTTTAAGAATTCTTGCCAACATCACAGCTCAAGAAAACACGACGTGGAAACGTACAGCTAAATATCAAGACGATCAGGTTAACCATGAACAACAGTTCCGAAAACAACTCAACCGAAAAGGGTTCCAACACGTTCTTTCCTCCCTCCTTCGTGTATCCAGTGGCGACGTGTCACATCTTAATTGTCGCTGTGGCAGTCCTTGGAAACCTCATAGTTTGTTACGCAATAATCGCTAACAAAAGTCTCCGAAGCAGCGCAACAAATTTGTTCATTTTCTCGTTGGCGTGCTCAGATCTTCTTACTGTAACATTAGCAGTACCATTTGACATAGAAGGCCTTTACCTTAACTGGACTTGGAAGCATGGAGAAATAATGTGCCAGGCGTGGATTACAGTTTACCTTATCACTGTACCCACGTCCATTTTGACCGTTTTGGCCGTGAGCGTGGATCGTTACAAGAGCCTTAAGGATCCCTTGAATCGATTTCGCCGCTCCCGATTTATGACACGAAAGAGAGCTTTAATTGTTATTTCTGTCATCTGGCTTTACAGCTTGGTTTTTGCTTTACTTCCCATCATGGGCTGGAGAGCATTTGATGTGTTTGTTTATGAGGGAATCTGCTACTTTCCTTTCACTGAAAATTATTCCACTCTCAGTTCTTGTTTAAATTTTGTCATCCCATCACTAATCACATGTGGTATTTATATTAAGATTTACCTCATAGCGCGCTCTCAAAGCAGCGCTTTTGACAAAGAGATCTCACGACAAATGCTTTCTACGGAAGCCTGTTCGCGACAACTGCGCTCTACGGAAGAAAAGAAAGTTTATATAAGAAACATCCGAGCGGCCAAGATTATCTCCATCTTTGTAGCGGTGTTTTTGTTTTGCTGGGTTCCAGCAAAACAAAAACAGTCTCACTGCCAATCTCTGCCGATCATGTCAAGCTAAAATCCCCAATGAAGTTCGAGTTTTATTTCTGATGTTTGGTTACCTAAACTCTGCCCTCAACCCATTTCTTTTCGCTTTTCAAGACAGTAGATTTAAGAAGACCTTTTCAGCTTTGAAATGCAGAAAGAAAGCTAGAGAAATCACCCGACAAAACAACCAAGAGGAGCTGAAAACATAAAGCCGGATCTCTCTAACGAAAGCACCTCAAGTCACCTCGGCTTGGGT